ATCTTCTAGCATTACCTACATTTACCAACTTAAATGCAGTTACTTAGAGAAGAACAAAACACAAAAAAAAAGCATTTTACAGCCTGAAACCCAAATAATCTGCAAACGCAATGTCAATCAGATTATGAACATTCTCCCACTAAAAAAAAAAAAAAAAAAAAAAAAAAAAAAAAAAAAAAAAAAAAAAAAAAAAAAAAAAAAAAAAAGAGAAGGTGGAAGGACTTTGATGAATGAAAAATTGCTGATCACATCAGAATGGATCTCCTATGTAGGAAAAAATATTATTAGAAGGTCACCAGGGAAACAAGGTCACTTAAGTATTCCAGGCAGGTATACAGCGCATTTAGGACAGGGCAGAAGAGCAATAATATGATTAAGAAGGTCTAAGAAGCAGTGATAGATTAACTCATGTCAGCCAATGAAAAGAAACTTGGACTTTATGTGGTAGGAAAGTTAAATATTAAATGCAAAATAAATGCATTTCATACCTATATTTTAAAAGAAACAAACAAGCAAAACCTTAGTCCAAGTCATGAAAGACTGAAATTATGCTAAAACAATACAGTTCACTAATTCATTACTGAGTTTACTGAGTGAACGAATACACATAAACTCACATACAGAAGAGTTACCGAACAAGCTGTCGAACACTATTCTGTGCTCTGTGTTTGTCCATCAACATTGTTTCACTGACATACATTCAGAAAGTGAGCTGGCAGAAGAAAGGCAGATGAATGAAAGGAGATGAGAAAATAGGGTGAGCTTATAATAGTTATAAAAATAAATGTTCTTTGGAATAAAAATGGTTACATGAAAGAAACACAAAAGATACATCCTGAGAAGAACATGAAAATGTTTTTAAAAGTAAGCATTTAGTTATGATAACAGGGAGTTTATATAATCAGTATAGCTTGAAGAAAAGCAGGAACTTTCACAATGCTTGTTCTGCCTTTTCTGTATTCATTAGCTCATGAGAGAAACTACAGGTATGTTTATAGAAAGATGATTACTATTAAGAAGCTCCTGTACCTTCTGTGGATTTATATTTATTATTTCTAATCCTGGTAATCCCTTATTACTACAGAAGAATATTTAAATTCCTTTGATTTCAAGAAGCCAGAGACAGTGTTTCATACTGAAGAAAAAATTGACTTTAAGAGGCAGAAAGTTAGATTTTTATCCACACGAAGGCAGTATGGAGACACTTCATACTGCTTTAGATTTTATGACTGGTTTTTCAGTGTAGTTTCATGATTTTTTTTTTTTTTGTAAAGCTGTGATTATGAAATGCTTGCCTATTGCACTGCGAGTTTCATTTAAAAAGTATACATATTATGTTTAGACAGAAGGAAAAATCTCCAATGAATAGTTTTCCTTAATCAGTCAACTGATAATCTTGATTGCATGATGGCAAGTATTTTAAGCACATACTACAAAATAGATTCCAGTAATAAAAAAATCTGTCAGATTATACTTCACAATGGAAAGATGCATTTGCATGGACTTTTTCACTCTCAAAATGTGCAAGTAATTACATAAGGAATTCACACATAGGAAGTCAAAAGCCTTATGAGGGACAAATAGTACACATGATCAAACAACAAAAAAGAAACCCTAACTTGCAGAGTTAAGGACAAAGTGGCAGAGGCTTTGAGAAACAGACTGAGATTTACAGACAAGGATGAACAGTGATAACACAGAAAGCAGCAGTACCAATAAGGCCTGAAGAAAGATAACTGTGTGAAGTAAAATAGCTATTACTGGGAAACGTAAGAAGTGACATTTCAAGGCAGAAGACGTGGTTGTAATAGAAATATGCATAGAAGATAAAGGAAATAAAAAGTATAAGGTAGAAGGCCAGAACAATGTATGAAATGAAAACTCTTTTTTCTTCTCTCTAGGTAACAAATTTAATAAAAGAGTTATGAAAGAGATGGACACCTGATACACTGTAAATAAAATCTTTCTGTGATAGGAGAAAAGGAATATTTATTTTCCTTATCTTGGCTTCTTAATGAACTGGACATAAGAGCTGTACAGCCATTCTTGACCATCCTTAAAATGTAATTAGAAGTTTTACAAGTCAAATACCATGTGTGTAGTATGGAAAATCACTTCCTAAATTTTATTGAACATGTCACAGGTACAGTAGAAGAAAATATGTAAAAGTAGATACTATCTAAAAAGATATCTCAGAGCCAAACTGTTAAAACACAATTTATAATACTGAGAAACTGAATTGTATATTTGACAAATACATTTAAAGGAAACCAGAGGGACTTAAAAATACATCAGTTAAAAAGCCTGCTCACTATAAGGCCTATGAGACATAAGAGATACTTAGCTACCATAATGAGATCACAACAAGGATGGAAAGGAAGAAAATATTTTAGACTTTTAATGAACAAATAATAGAATCAGGGGTTGGTGAATTCTGAACTTAGTAGTCGTCACTGAAATAATGGTTAAAAAACGTAATTTCTTAAAGCTACATTTTGGCAACAATGTATTTCAAAGAAAAACTACATGTGAAATGTTTGAGATCATTTACTTTGATTCTACACTATTTTATGTGCCAGAGACACAGGAAAATAAAATTAACTCTTAAAGGTAAGAAATGGTCATCAAATAAGTATGAATGATTGAATCAAGAATATCCTGAGTTAGAAAGGACCACAAGCATCATCAAAGTAAAACTCCTGGGCCTGCACATGACACCCCAAGAGTCACACCACGTGCCCGAGAGCGTTATCCAAACACTTGTTGAATTCTGGCAGACCTGGGGCTGTGACCACTTCCCTCGGAAGCCTGTTCCAGTGCACAAGCATTCTCTGGTTGAAGAACCTGAATCTAACCTAAATCTCCCCTGACAGAGCTTCACAGCTTTGTTCACTAGGAGTTAGTTTACAGTATCATATGCTGAAGACTTCTCCAGCCTGTTAAGAGTCCTGTGAGGTAAAACTGCTGTTAGTTATCAGTTATGTAATGAATAAAAATTGAATAAAATGAGTAAAAATTTACAAGAATTAAAATCAAGACCTTTACAGTCCTGAGAAATCAATAGTAAAAGTATAAAGATGCAACAGGTACAAAATAGAAAATGCATGCAACCAATAACTGAAGTCTGAATATTAACTATAAATATTTAAGATTTTTTTTCATTGTCATTTTTGCAAAAAGAGTAGTGACAATGATTGTTGATGGTTACATATTTATATACAAAAAAATAACAGCAATGTTAAGGAAACAAGAGAAAAAAGGAAAAGCCTCAGTAAGCATTAAGGGTACCAGAATACTTCTTAAACAGCAAGACAAGAGTAATCTGTGGCCCGGCAGAACACTTCTTCTGTTTTGATATTCTGAGAAACTCAGATTCAAACCATGTGTCCAACCTGCTGTCAAACTTTATATGTCTGCACCTATGTGGTTTTGTTTTTTGAGGGATACCTGTTTTACAGCAGTGGTGAGCTCAAAGCATTGCTTCTATTGATCTAAGCTGCAGTGACAAAAACTCAGCACTTGTGAATTTTGTTGTGCATATCTCAATTTACAGGTCTTAAATATGAAAGAGTGTCTGAAATACCTCAATGAGTACAGGGTGACTTGACCACAATTCAGTTCTCTAAAGAGGTATTTCAACCATCTTTTTTAAATATTTTTTTTGTATGCATGCATTCTACTCTGAAACTATAGAAAAACGCAAAAGTGTTCTACAGAGCTACTTCTTTTTTCCAGGAAGCATCAACCGATTTCTTGTGCAGTATCTGTTCAGTGCATTACATGACAGAGAAATAGTCAAAAGTCATCTCTCAAGCACAGACGGGACCAAAATAAAGAGTGGGACGTCAGAAAAAGTTTCATGAACAGCAACTGAGGTACAAGATGAATATTATTTTGATCTCTTCATATTGCTTTGTAACCGAAAAAAAATCAAGCCTTGACTATCGTAACAAAAACGTTGTACCAACTTGATCAGAGTGGCAGGAATGCCTTCCCTTCATCAACAGGGCAGAAAGCCCTTCCCAAAAATATGCGGCTTGATTATCTGGCTGCAGCACTACCTTGTCATTTGCCCTACGAGGGCCATGCATTATATGGCTTTGAAACTTTGAAAAGTTTTTCCGAGATGCTGAGAAAATGGTTCTGAGGGTCCGAAATCCCTGGTCCCTTTTCCCGATTCTTACAGCCAGCCTGTTCCAGAGATTCCTGTTCCACTTGGGCTCGCATATAGACCGACGCAACCCCGGCTAGACCGCCTTCCACAGTTTTAGTTCCGCCGAGCGGCAGACGCGGCGATTTCCAGGTTCCGGAGGGCGCCAGCGCGTTTCGCCGCCCGCCTCCAGCCTGCCCCCGCCCCCGGCCCCGCCGGGCTCCCTCCGCCCCGTCCGACGCAGCACCGCCCCTTCGCGCTCCAGCAGCACACGGGCCCGGACCGCTGCACACGGATTCGGCGCCGCCTTCCCGCTGCAGCTGGCAGCGCCCGCCAGCGCCTCGGACCCCCGGGAGCTCGGGCACTGCGCAGCGCTTCGCACGGCAGAGAAGGCGGCCGGGGGGATCGCCGCTGCTCCGCGGGCCGCCGCAGCGGATTCCAGCCCGGCCCCGCTCGGCGCCAGAGCCCGGCCGAACGGTGAGCGGAGCGGAGGGGCAGCCCCAGCGGGGCCACTTACCCGGCCGGGATCCCCCCGCGGCTCCGCGCCGGCGGCCCCGGCGACCGTGGAGCGTCAGTGACAACGTCCCGGAACGGCCGCTCCGCCACATCCGGGGGCGGGGCGGGGCGAGGCGGGAACTCGCCGTGCCGCGGCGCCTGGCGGACGGCGGGCCGGAGCGAGCCGAGCCGAGCCGAGCCGAGCCGGGCCGAGCCGAGCCGGGCCGAGCCGGCGATAGCGCAGCCCCGCTCCCGCGGTCTCCGAACGTGAGCGCTGGGGGCTCCCGCCGCAGCCAGGGGCCCTCGCTCGGCACCCCCTGTCCGGGGGCGCCGGCAGCCCGCCGCTCTCGGTGGCGTGTCCCTGCGACGGGGCCGGCGGGGACCCTTCCCCCGCGGGGCGAGGGGAGCCTGCCCGCGCTGCCGGCAGCGGAGCAGGGCTTCGAGGGACTGAACCACCGCGCATTTGCGTGCAGAGAGAGCCCCGATGCCAGGCCGGGGGGGCTCGGCCCGCTACGCGTTGCACTTCGGGAGTCTCGGGCTACTCCGTTATCGCCTTTTAGGTGTCTTTGTTGTGAGAGCTTAAAATGTGGTGTACGAGTATTCATTCCTTTTGGTGTGTTTTCCTATTGGAAAAGAAGTAGCAAATACTAGTCGGGCCTTGCAAGCAACTTCCCATGGTGTGTACTTTGTGTGTTAATGTTTCCTTTTCATTCTTTCAGCAGATGGCAAGTTGCAGCCAGAAGAGGATAATACAAATCACTGGATTTAAAAATCAAGAGAAGAAGGCACTACTCAAATGCCTGTTCAAGCTGAACTGTGTTTTTGTAGAGAGTAAGGTATTGTTCATTACAGTACAGCAAAGAGAATTAGAGCTGGAAGTAAAATGCAAGTCTTAGAAGGAAGGACTGTGCAATAGGTTAGTTATGTATAAATAGACAAAGAATTTAAATGTTTCCAGTGATACAAGTGTGTTGTTTTGTTTTGTTAGAAATACAGAAATTGTACACATCTTGTAGCAAAAAAGCTGTGCAAGAGTGAAAAAGTCTTAGCTGCCTGCGCTGCTGGTGAGTAAAAGATTTGCTGTTTAATTTCATAGCATCACAGCATAAGCCTGGAAAGGCTCCTTAAAAGGGTTTTAGTTATCTGTTTTCATTTTGTGATTGAACTGTGTTACAAAGCTTCATTCTTCTTGTTCCATTAACCTTGATTTTTAACACAGTATTATGTTGAAGTTATGATGAAGTCCTCTTTTTTGTTTTGATTTTTTTCCACTAAGTGATATTCCTGCTATTTCCCTTTGTTGGATCTGCATCTGTTCCCAAACTGAACACTTTGTTATACATTAGATAATGAAGTCATGTTCAAATTATTTGGATGCTTAAGAAAGGGCAGAGGGAGTATGAACACCTGTAGTCAGCATGGATTTTTGATGACAAATTCACATTAAACATTCGCTGGTAAAGGTCACTGTAAGTTTCTGTTTATGCAGCAAGAGAAAATTCCAGGCTCTTGCCATTCTGACACAAGCTTCTGGTCTTTCCTCTTTAACTAGGGTCTGATGGTGAAATCCCATACATTAGCAACTAAAATGCTTTCAGAATTAAAATCCTGTATTTTAAGACTTGTTTATAGACTGATGATATGTCAGAATTCTCTGATGCAGTTTGAGTATCTTGTAGTTATAAGACACCACAATACCATTTTTAAGCATGATACTTATTTTCCCTATATCATATTACTCTAAAGTGTTAAAGCAGTTGTTAGGATGGATAATCTTAGAGATGATAGACAAATTACTAAACATACATTTGGGTTTAAATCTATATGTAAATTCCTTGATTTCCATATATATATAATATATGTATGTATGTACCTATGTATTTTTCTTTGTACTAAAAATAAAATTATAATTACAATCTTACCAAAAATGAAATAGACCAAAAGTTTCCAAGAGGGGAAAAAATATTAAAATGCATCTAGGTTTCTGGCACAGCACTTCATTTTAGCAATTTTAAACCCTTGAGTTAATGTTTTCTGACTATTTGGAGTCTAAAATTTGAAGATGTTCTTTTAACAGAGTGGAAATGGTGCATGTAGTGTCCTCATGGTGATACAAAACTCTGTCATGCTTCGATACATGCAAATCTTCCGCAATACCATCTAACCTCTTCTTAATCCCGAGGTGCTGATTTTGCATAGTCATTGCTCTTACTCATCATGGCAGAGACAGTGTATTCATTCCTACTTTGTTGTTTTCCAGGTAGTTAAGAAAGAGCATGTTTAAACACATTTAGAACTCCACAGAGTTCATCAGAAATACTATCAAGGATTCCACTTGTCATGTACTTCCTAGCTGACAAGTTTTGGGATGGAAACTTCATGTGAAAGTGGGTTAACATCCAGGTCATGCACAGCATATCTTTTCCAGTCATAAATCGACTGGTACCTGTGCTAGGTATTGTAGAAGTGCCATCTGTGCTCCTGCACTGAGACATTTTGTCAGTCAACCCTGCTGTTCTGTGAAACCAATTAGGTTCACACAATTCAAGTCAATTTCTCTTACAGTGTCTTCTGTAGGAAGTATTTCAATACAGGAGCAGGGTACTAACCACTGCTCTTGACCTGAACCTGTAAGAAGAGAGAGAGACAGGGAAGATCATTACATACTATATCAAAAGCATAGATGTGGAAGATGAAAGAGGAGAGGTGGAGGAGGTGGAGCCAAAGGATGAGAGAAAAGGATGTGAAAAGAAGAAAGGGGAAAGAAAAAAGTCTAAAACTGTGCCCCCCAAATATTGATATTCACTACATTAGCAGTGCAAGTAATACTAAGAATATATAAGAGAAAGAGCTTACATGTTAAATGTCTAGTTCTTCTTTAAAACCATAGGTGGGAAAATATTTCTTCATTTTAGTACATTTGCAGAAGTGTCAAATGGTATTAAAAATAAAGGACTTACCAATGTTCTGTGGAACTCCTAAGAACAAAATCTGGGAGGTTGAAAACATGTATTTGATATTTTTGAGGACATAGACAAGTATTTTATCTAGGAAGGGTAAAAAGGTACTTAATCATTAAAAGAAAACAAAGCGATCATTTTCAGTGGCATTGTGAAATTTTTGATTGTGAAGTGGAAGACTCTTGTAATAGGAAGAAGTTTTTTAAATGGTACTTATAATTTCATCTTTTATTTGCACAAGAAAGGTTTAAGTTAATTTTATATTAGTTCTTCAGTTGATTGCCATTTGTCTCCACAAAAAATCTTTTGTGGTTGACAGTTCATTTTCTTTTTAGGGAAGTGGGTACTAACTAAGGAGTACATAATTAATAGTGCTGAAAGTGGCAGATGGCTTGATGAAACAACGTACGAATGGGGATATGAAATTGAAAGAGACACCCATTATTCACCTCAAATGCAATCTGCACCTAAAAGATGGCGTGAAGAACTGACAAACTCTAGTGCTCCAGGGGCCTTCCACAGATGGAAAGTTGTCCTCCTTGTTAAGAGATGTGATAAACGAATGGCATGTATTAGAAGGTAGGAGTTCCATCACAGTTAATTTGGTCCATAACAACCTCCAGCTATTCAAACAATTATTTTCATTAATATATTTCCGTAGCTTTATAATGACTTTAAATCTGTAACATCACTGCTTTTCTTGCCTTCTTTTAGTATAGTGTTTAAAATAACATGCATATGTTTTTATTAAGTAAGCTGCTAACAGAAACTTCCTTCCTGAGGCAAGATACACAGATTTATAGTTTTTATTTTGTGTGGGTGTTAGATTCAAATAGTAGCTGGAACTGTATACTTTATTTCACTTGACTAGGTGACCTGACTATGTTTCATGGATCTGGGCCACATTGCTACTGACCTGATGAGTCTTTGTGTCACATTTATGTAATACGTTCTTCTAGTTTTGAAGATGTAATTTGTTCTAAAACACATGACTCTGATATATTATAAATACAGGTAGGTTAGAAAGGGAGTATGCAGAAGCAGAAAAGGAAAGAAGGAAAAAAAGAAAGGTAAGTAAAACCAAAGTGCAAGAATGCTGAGAACATGTTTCTTTTCCATACTCTTCCTACACATTTGGATTCATTACTTTAAATTCTATATCTGAATTGAACTTTGTGCATATTTAAGTCTTGTTTGCATCTGGTACAGTAAAAGGAGCATCTCCTGACAGTTTCAGAGCTTTCCATTCATTCAGATACTCTCCGGCTTTCTATTGAGATCCCAGTTAGGACTGCTCAGGTCTGAGTGTGCTTCAGATCTACAGTCAAGAAGAGAACTGCAGTTTGTTGGATCGTAGTACAGGGCTTTGTGCTATATCACAGAATGCCTGTCTGTATTTCATAAAGACATAAAGTGAGGGGTAATTGGAGTTGTTATCTTCTCATTTTGCCAACTGAAGATATTTTTAAGTATGCTATTTTTTGGCTGAGTGGAAGAATTTACTGTGTCCTGCTACATTTGTGAAAAATGCTGATTCTTTTTCTATAAAAACTTCTCATGTAGATATTTATGATAACACTGTTGAAATGATGTCTTGCACACGGCTGTCTGTTGCTGTTTTTTGCAATAGAAATAACCTTTAACAGGAGCAACATCAGTAAGACGGATGAACAAGTTTGGTGGAAGATTTTTTTTACAGACTGTTTCCGATGCACTCAGTTTTTAGTCAGTCATAGAACACTGACAGGTGCTTGTCTTCAGCAGCTACTGGTTTCAGTCATAAAGCATGCTATTGCTTTGGGGAAAATCTGGGTTTTTTTCTAATATTTAACAACATTGTGCCTTTTATCCCCTTTCTATGCTCTTCCTGCCTTTAGTGCCTTGCTGTTGGATAGGTGAGTGTAAGACCAGCACCATTTTCTTTTTGTATATCTGGATAATGAAAAATAAAACCTATATCCAGAATGTCATTAGATCTTATTTTCCCACCTTTTCTTTTGTCTGGCATTTTTTCTAAAAGATGGGAGCACTTGCAGCTGTACAGGTCTGAAAATTGTCCCTGGGGAAACTATTATGTGTAATAGTGCCCCAAAGACAAGCAAATCTCTTCTGTATATGATACTGGACAGCACTAATGCTGCAAATGTATATTTTTCTTATCAAAACATCATACTAATATTTCAGAAAAGCAGTGTGCCATTTTTGGTTAACTGCCTAATTTATAGGAAAACTTAACCAAAATATCATTATTTTGGGATAGATAATGCAATAAATTATAGCTGCTACCATTAAATTTGATACTTAGAAAGGTACACAGATGAAACTTTTTATCAGACATATTGGAGGTGTACATTGATTCCAATAACTAGTGTTAAATTTTGAAGAGAATAATGTTTTGTTAAGTGGGTTCTTCCATTTTCTGAAGACTTTTAAGTGCTCTTTTATCTTTCTAGTGAAGTTTGTGCTGTGCCATACATCTAGAAGCCTTATTCAGTTTCACTTGCATGCTTGTATTTTTGTAGCTTTAGGCAGTGTTAATATAATATAGTAAATACATCTTTCTAAATATGTTTATTTAGAGTTCTTAAAGCTGGAAAGGCAACCATATGTTCATCTGAAAATGCAGAGCACAATATAACTCATGTGTTCATCAGTGGTAAAATTTCTCCTTTACAAAATAAAAAGCATCTCTCTGAAACTCAACACTACCATTTGGAATATATAGGACATTACCTTTTTCAAGTGAGTAAACTATTTATTAATTGCTATAAATAATGGAGGGGAATATAATCAGCCAGAGTGTTTTGTGATTTGATTAAAGTTAAGACAACTTTCTGATTCTGGGATCATGTATCGAAAAGATAGGAAGGCTCATGTATATATATAAATATCTGAAAGGAGTATGCATAATAGACAGGCAGGCCGTTGTCTGTGGTGCCCAGTTACAAGAACAAATGGAAAGTAAGGAACCAGACAGTTGGGTTTTCTTGCTGTGAAATTGATGAAACACTGTTGTCCGGTTGTCTGAAGGGGCCATAAAGTCTCCAGATGCCATCTGGATGTGGTCCTGTGCAAGTGCAGAATTCACTAGAACCAGAATTTTGTTTTACTGTTTCCCTTAAGAGGGATCCCCCATGTTCCATACTTGTTTGCTTACCAGATTCACCATTCAGAAATTCTTAGTATTTTGATCTGGAGCTACTAGAAGGCTTCAGAATATTAATTTATTTCTCAGACTTTGGGTTGACTTTAATCAACTGCTAATTGAACCTACTACCTTTGTAAGCAAGTATGAGCTAAAACTCTGTTACCATTTGTAAATCCTTTGGTCTTCTGATCAAAGCACTTAGCTCTCCCTGTAGTAAAGGTGTTACAGAAGGGTCAGAATGCTGGAAGGTCTCAATGTTTATATCCTGAATAAAACATCAATGTGAGCTCTTACCCTAGTGCTTACTCTCTTAATGAAACTTGTTCAGGGAAGTTGCTCTCATTTAAACCTTCCAGATAAGATGGACATTTTCACAGATGGATTAATGTAAAAATTTTATGGTTATGTTACCTTTTATTGATCTCTATCAAAATCATGTGTTTCTTGCTATGCACCTTGAATTCCCCCCAGGTGAGATAACAACTTTCCATCTTAACTAGTCCATTAATTTGCACGTATCTGGTTTTGCTTAGATTTCATTAAAGGAACTCACCTCAGAGACCAAGAGAAGATTAGCTTTCTATTTAAGTGAATCCAAAGAACTCAGGAAACTGCCAAAGCTTCTAGTCTCTTAAAGGAAAAGAGTAAAACATAGGCAGTCAAATCACAGCACTTTCCAGATACATTAAATTTTATCAAAGAATGTTATGGACAAGCTCTTTTCTCTTTATCCCAGAAGTACTTGGCGTATTATTCAATTCACCTGTATCTATCTGATGATTCTTAACTCATGACACTGCAGGAGGAGTCTGGTTTTGTGGTTACCTGTTTACTTAAACAAACATGGTGTTTTATTCTTAACTTGTGTATCTTTGGTGAAAAGCATGCATTGAAACTCTTACTGAAATCTATGTTCTCAATCCATTGAGTAAAATTAAAATATTTTGTATAGTTATTTTTTTCAAGCAAAAGTTATTTTGTGGTATTACTGAGTCTTTTCAGAATTAGTTGGAAGCCAATTTGAGAAATGCTTCCTATTTCCTATGCTGAAGAAGTAGCTGAAAATGATTGGTGGACTCAGAGAATTAATTACTAGACAAACAGACAAAAATGTCAAAGAAAAAATAAGACAGTAAAACCTATTAAATTTTAAATTACTATTTTTTTCATGCTTATAGGCAAGAACTGAAAATATTTCACTGTAGTGGTCTATATGAAATAAATAGATAAATTGAATAAGAAATGCCTTATAAAATCTTTATGTCTACATTTTTGACCAGTTGAAAATGTGTGAGCTCTGGTTATAGTTTTTGAAAAGTTCTGAAAGAGAATCTGTTATGGAGAAATAGTCCTTGTTTCAGCCACAGAGATTGTTACTTGACTTAAAGTCAGAAAAAACAAATATAGGGAAGTTTACCTTGATAATTGCTGTGCTGTAACTTTGTACAGCAGCAGTGGTTTGTTTCCAAACCAGCAGCTCTTTATCTGATGCATGATGTAGACCCTAACACAATTACATAAACAATACACAGGCGCATAGTTTGCAATCCAATATATAGAAAAACCTAGCACATAAAAATTGGTTAGACCATTAGCTTTGAAACAAAGTATTATTTTTTTGCTCTGCAGAATGAAATACAAAATCCCGAAGATACACAAATGAACAATGTCCTGGCTGCACAAGAAACGGATCTAGTCATGTCTAAAATGGAACTTGCTGAAATGAAAAATGTTATTATAAAACATATGTATTTTACTGCGGTAAGTAACAGTTAATGCTTTGTTAGCATGATATATTTTATATACATACAATTTTACATTTTTATGTTGCATGAATTATATTAAAAACCTCTCTCTTTCGTTATAGTATTGAGCTACCTCTCTCTTTCGTTATAGTATTGAGCTACTAAGTTATATACTTGACATACCTTTAGACCTTTTAACCTGCAATATTTAATAATCCCATATTTACTACATGTACCATTAGTTAAAATAAAAATTAGTCACCGCAATTCACTGGCATGGGTATGTAGAAGACACGGTGTACTGCTTGAAGCCTTGATGTAATAGATGAGGTAAATAGTAGCAAACATTGTTCAACAAGATATCTTTGAATTACAGTCTTTCAGTGATTTTCCTGTTATTTAGCTAACTTATGCTAAAACGTTTTTCAAAACAATTATTGTAGAGCCAGTGTTTTGTTGACTCACATGAATGTTTTTTATTACAAGTCAAACGTAGAGCTAATGCACACCTTTGGTTTTCTGTTGTCACAGATCTAATCCTGATAAAATTGCTACCTTAGTAGTTAACAGCACTATTTCAAGTGAAGAGAAAGCAGCTGAACCTTGAGTTAGGATATATTATCTCCATAAGTTACAGTGATGCAGATGATGGCGTCTAAGTATATTGGTAGGAACTTGTTTACGTGAAGCATTCTAAGTTCTTAGTAGTGGAAGAATTAAAAATTTTAGGTCCTCAAGGTACACACAGTGTTTAAACACAAGATTACAAATAGAAGACTCATGCTGGTTAAATCTGTGCGCCATCAAATCTTTTATCAGTGACATTTTATCAAGGCTATACTCCCCAGACATTTAAAAAATACATTTGTTCTGAACTTTTCATGTACTTTACATACAGCAAATGCTCTGGTTCAAACTATTATGTATCAGATGAATTAACCCTTCAAAGACAGTGAGGATATTTTAGTAACATGTTTTAGTAACATTGTAATACTACACAATAACTGAATATGGCTATAACAGTAATACATTTTCACGCCTATGACCATATTTTTGCATGCAAGAGGAATCCAAAGTTGGCATTTTGCCACAGAAAACCTGAAAACTTTTAGTTATTTAATCTAGGAATACTGTCCTTACAGAGCAACCACATAACAACAAACAGACAATAGCAGGGGAAAATGGGAAGGAAAATTTGGCTATATTTTATTATTTTTAAGTCATTAGTCCCCTATTTCATAATTTAACCATCTCAATAGGTAAATCTAAATGCTAGGTTATGCTTGAACTACCTTTAACAGAAGTTGTAATTTGGAAAGTTTCATACGCTATTTATTGAATATGTTGACTGGTATCCAGTGTGCAGGTTGACTTTATCCTGTTTTACAGACTATTAAGCACAGGCTTATGCAAACAGACCGGCTGAACTGCAATCCAGAGGTAAGAATTATTTTAAAGGAGGGCGTTATGCATATGGAATTTTATTATTAAGTTGGACAAACATACTTTAATTGCAAAATTAGCTATCAAAAAACATTTCTAGATTTTGGCTATGCAAAACTCTGATAAAGCTTTTATTGCATTAACAAGCATCATTTGGTCTTGAAGGTTGCTTGTGCCTGTGATACTTTTAGTATTGACCCTCATTACAAAGAAAATGCTTAATCCTGCTAGCTAAGAGAACCTTACCTATTAATGTCACTTTAATTCCTTTATTTGTACTACTCAATTTCTCTTTATTTCCATTAGGCCAAATAAATGCCATAAAACAGGTCAGCAATAGATTTCATTAAGTCTTTGTAATAAATACCTGAAGTAAATTAATACTTTAAAAATTTTGCCTTGTCTAGCTATAATACTAAGAATAAATCTATGAACTGTGTTGAAACTCTGTTGCCTCTTCAGTACTCAAAAAGCATTTATACAGTGGCCATGAGCTACCAGTAGTGCATTTTATATAGTAACTTGTGTTATTTAAAAGTTAAAAAGGGAAACACTTAAAGTATGTGTTAGCATCCTAGTTACTTGAAATCAGTTTTTTTTCTGATATCTTTCTATTGACAATAAGGAACGAAGAAGAAAAAATTTATTTCTAAAGTATGAGGAATAAAATACTTTTGTCATGGTCCAACACCATCACTAATCTGTAAAATGCTATGTGTGTTTCTGTTCCTGAAGAGGCTTGCATTGAAATTTAATCTTTGTGTGTATTTTATTGAATTAATGGGATAAAAAAATTACCTTTCTTAACACATGTAAACTGAAATTGTTTTCCTGTACTCTTAAGAATAATACCATTTTTTGCTTGGAAATTTTAAACCTTATTGTAATATTTTTCTTACTGTTCTGTCACTTTTATTGCTTTATGGAATACCCATTGCTAGCCTTTATATAATATTTGTCTTCCATAGTAAGTATATTTATGACTTTTATAAGCAGGTCCAGTAAACATTTCCAATAATACTGATGAAGTAAAATCAAACCTACAAACTAAATGAACATGTTAGATCTGCCTACTGTATTTTGTCACCTCAGTTTGCGCCTGCTAGGAAGGCTTAGGAGAGCTAAGTGTTCTTTTCCATCATCATCCCAAAATATTTATTTCTCTTTTGTCAGCTTTTCTTCTACATCATGCAATGTAAAAGATGTATTGTGTGGACCTTAATATTTCATTTGTTTCTGCTCAAAGTGCTAATGATTGTATCACCAGTGTTTCACAAGAAACTGCTGATTCCTCATCAGTCAGAGTGCAAGCCAGTGAAGTTTGGACAATTTATTAAGTCTCTTCAATAATAGGTGTCTTCTGATACTGACAAAAGTTTATTTTCTCAGTTTTGTATCATCCTTCTTTACCTCTTAGAAATGTGCTGAAAACCAGTCTCTAGTTTCTCTTTGACTTGAACGCTATACAAGAGCTACCACAGTCTTCCCAAAACATCTTTATTTTAGTGCCTTTTCAAAATAATGCATCAATGTTACTCTTTCTTCTAGTACAGAATTTTCAAAGAATAAAAATTTCAGTCACAATATATAAAGCTGGATCCTGGTGTGATCACCAGGTGAATGTTAGTAGTAACATGCTTCTATGCACCCAATATGCAGTCTTACATCTTAAATCCAGGTGGCAGAGAAGTTCTTCTTTGACTGTCATGAAACAGTTTATGATTGCTCTTTAGATATGCTGTTTGCATGTAATTAGCATTACAAAAGTATGAACGCAACCATTATTTCCAAAGGAAATTTTAGTGGGGATTTTAATAGTTCATATATGAAAAGATTTAAATAAATGTGAGTTGCAAATACCAGATGCACAAAGACTTGATTAAAAGAAAATTGTCTATATGAGCAGCTTTATTTATTGTTGATGTCTTACATTAGGAATCTGAGATACGAGACATTTGCGGAGACACCAAATGTCTAATGCTAAGGTGGAGTTCACTGAGATTTTAGCTGTGATTTAATCATGATTATAATTTCTTTCTGATCTTTTTTTTCATGTTTAAACAGAGCTCCTAATGTTTTTTTATCTTATTACTGGAACATTTCTGGAAGCTATGTAATATCAGTATGTTCTTTAGACTTCAAATCCCCAACCAGACTCTGACCAAATCTCTGTCAATTTAAAATATAAACTAATAATAATTAATAAGATCTTTAGACTGGATAATAGGAAAATTTATCTCTGCAAATGGTTGTCCAGTTCTGGAGAAGGCTTCCCAGGCCAGTAATGGAGTCATCGTCCCTGGAGGGATTTAGAAGATGGGTACAAGTGTCACTTAAGGACATGGTTTAGTGGTGGGATTGGTAGTGCTGTTAATGGTTGCACTCAGTGCTCTTTTATAACAATTTTATCTGAACTATTCCATTAATGCACACTACAAGACAGGATTTTTGGCAGAGATCATAAGGTCTAGAATTTATCGATTCACCAACAATAAATTTATGTAACTGTTTAATTCCCAGCAGTCCAATCAGTCTGATGCTGCTTCTCTCAGCTGTGCTTCTTATCCCAGAATTACAAAAAATTTGAATTTACCAGAACCTCAGGCTGTGTACTCAAAAAAAAAGCTGTATTTTAGAAGAGTGGTTACCTGGCAGAAGAAAGCCATGCTTCAGTTAGCAATAGAGTTGCAACTAGCTTGTGCATGGGCTTTGGCTTGAATCTGAACTAGAGGAAAGATGTAAATAGCAATGTACCTGAGACCTTCACTAGCTCATTAGTGTCATTAATTTGTGATCTTTGGAAAGCTGAAAGTACAGACAGTAACAGGGAAATTGCAGAGCAGATAACAGCATCTCATGGAATCTACTGCATCTGACTGGGTTCTCTGAAAGCCATAAAGTTAAGAGTTTTGCTGTCATGAGTGACAGTGAGTAAGAAGGAAGTCATTAAGGGCCATTAAGATCTTCTTGACTGGACAGACGCCTTCTGCTTGGAAATAACAGTCCCTTTCCCCCTGCCCTGGCAGGGATATAAGGTGGTGTAGAATAACCTCCATGTCTTAGGGACATCCCCTGTGGCTACTGCAAAAATAAATTCTATCCTGTCAGGAACCAGGATATATAATGCCAACAGTTTAGTTAGGGATTACCTGTGTTAGTTAACTTGTTTGGTTAAAGGGTTTTTTAATTTAAGCTGGTTTTTTTTTTTTTTTTTAATAATGATATCTCATGTCTAGGTTCAAAGTACTAACTGGTCCAGGGGTACTTGGTCTATACTTCAAGGATACGTGGAAGAAGACTTACTTCATGATGTAGTCACAGAACTTGCTACAGGCCATATGTACAGTGCACCTCCTGTGCAACTTCTTCATCCTCTTCTAGAATATGTCCTATTGGTGAGAGACGAAGACTAAAGTATTATTAAAAATAAAAGTAATAAATTGAAATATTATAATCTTTGTTTCTGACATAGTATTTAGTAGGTTTTAGTGATTCATTCACCCTTCTTTTTGTGCTGATCAATGTGCTTGTAAAAATAAGAAAGGATTTTAGAAAGGGTTTTTTCAAATTAGTATTTATTTGCAAGCCAAACTAATGTAATGCTCTAAATATTGTGGAAGGTTTGGCCATAAATATTTTTTGTTACTTTTAGAAACAGCACTATGCTAGTATGCTACGGATAGATCAATTGAGAACAAGGTTTGCTCTGAATAGTGGTGCATTCAACTGGCATATCACAGTAGAACAAGTTCTCCTCTTTCTCTTCCCTTTTTTTTTTTATATTTAACTATTTAACGTATTTTTCTCCTTGGAGTTGTGCATTAAATTGCATGCTACTTCAGTGATTAAATTTGGTCACTTGAGATTGTAAAGATTAAAGAAAATAAGTAAACTCTTAGTGATAATAAATATAGATCTTTGGCTGGTCTGGAGCCAATATTATTTTCATTTTTTTACAGGGAAACAATGATACATTATTTTTTGCCAAACTTTGTCATGTTTTTTACCTTGTTCTTCATTGTGAACCTCCCTGGAAGTCCCCATTGATGTTGAAGTACTATTTGGATTTTCTTCAGTGTCCTATCTGTAAGAAAGGCACATGGTCCTTTATAGAGATGCTTGTAAGGTAAGAAGGATTAATGAGGTATTGAATGCAATAGTTATGTTACTTCAAACTCAGGGACAGCAGAGGAGAGTTGGCATTCTATTGCACCAAAGTGCTGTTTTCAACAGAACAAGTTACCAGTATGTGAAAGTCCAGAATTGTAACAGATTTGGACATTTCAGTTTATGTTTCAAAAAGTGTTAGCTCACAGGCAGATGAAATTTTTTGAAAGAAAAATAAATACATTTTTTTAGCCTTATTCAGTTTTAAAAAAATATTTTATTTCTTAAGCTCTTTACAGAGTTCAGTAATCTGTGTACTGTTGCTGTTGTTGTGTGTATACATATAAACATACACACACACACACATGCATATATCTGCAGTTACAAAGCAAATTCAAAGGCTTATCTTACCAAACATGAAGATTCATGTTGTATTTACATTTTAAACATAATCTTTGCCATCTTTTTGAAGAAGTCTGATTATATCTGCTTCTACAGAGACAAGACAGTATTTAGGATCTCTTTGGATAATTAGACTCTGCTTTTCCTTGAGAACTTATTTTTTGTAATTTACATCAACAGAAATTAATTCTTCATTTGGAAATGAAACTACACCTCTTCTTGTGGCAGTGAAAAAAAGTAATATTTAAACACTTTGATACAACTATGATTACAGATATATGGATGTGCGTGATTGTAAGCATGTCTTGAAGAACAGGAAACAGAATTTATCTTTTAGATTGAGTATTTTGTCTTTTAGTACTTCCTGGAGAATGGGAATACCCAGAAGTTGTATACCTGGTTCTAATACTCAAAATTCTAGACAAAAAGTGTGTTTGCATGTTACTTCAGAATTATCTACATCATGTTTAACAATTTGTAGTCCTGTCAAGTAGTATGTATGAACTGTTATCTGAACAGAAGTTTGTAGGATGTTACCATGTCTATAAAATAGTACAAAATTAGCTTGTATTTAAAGAATTTTAAAGTTCTATTTATAGTAATTGTACAATATCTCAAGTAGAGACAGGAAAAAAGAAATCCAGTTAAATTATTTAGTTTATACTATAATACAAAATCTTCATCTGGAACACAAAAGCTCAGTCACAAACATGTTGAGTTTGTTTTTTTTTCTTTTGAAAAAAAGCTTTAAAACTGGAAAATTAGGTTGGAAAAAATGTTGACTGTTGCTGAGGAGCAAACTATTTCCTTGTCAAAACACACCAGATTCAAAGCTAACTTTTTTCCAATAGATTATCTTATATTTCTATCATACAAATGGAATTTTTCATTTTTTATTTTTCAGGTCTTGCCTTTATTGTGAAACAGTTTGTCATACAGTCACAGTTTTAGAGACAGAAGATGAACTGAGGATAGTTCATAAAACATTATTGAAGTATTTCTTTGATTTAGTTAAAGGCGAAGTAGAGTTTCTGACAAAAAGGTGGGATTTATAAAATAATACATGTGTTTCTTTATTTGCAGCAGCTTGTATCCTAATTTGTGTATATCTCTGATAAGATACTGCTCTGAAAGCAGTTTAACAATTCCATTTATATTTCTCAATTCTTAGTTTGTTTATTGTAAATTCATAGGTTTTTTCATAATGTTTTAAGACATCTTGTCTTTTCCAGCTTGTTATTCCAGTAAGCATTTAATTTTGCTCATAAAGTGGTACTTGTAGATTTGCAGTACTTGACTATTCATTCTTTAAGGTAGACAAGCAGCATTTTGAATTTTTTTTAAAATTCAAATAACTGTTATCTCCATTTTATCTTAGGGAGACAATTACCTTTCCTTGGTTTATGAAGTCTAAAAAGTCTAGGTTTTGCTTTGCCTTTATATAGAAATGGTGACCTTTACTTTATGTAAGTAGTGGCATAGTATTAGAATTCCACAGGTCTAACAGTAATAGTCATCATCATTGTACTTAACTCTTCATCAGAAATTGTGTCTGATCTTTCCATAGGTAAAAATCGCCAAATCTGTGTGTATTGTGAATGAAGGCAAGGTGTCTGTCTGGTAGCTATAATAATCAAAGTGGCATAAAGCTTTAGGTTTTTTCACCTTTTTTTTTACAGTTTGGTTGAAGGAACAAATTCACAGCATCAAGACTTGCCTCAGACGGTTCTTCTGAAGACATTCTTGGTTGAAAGTGGGACCGCAGTGCTTTTTACCAAACACATAAATATTCTAGCAGATTGGGTCATATTTTCCTATAGAGAATTAAATGGAAAAAATGATGTGAGTGTGAATTTTATACTTTAAAATAATGAAGACTGACATATTTTTTAAATGCCTTTTGTTCATTCTTTTGTGAGGAATTATATGCACATATAACAGCTGCTTGTTATAGCTGCCTTTTGTTGTGAAGCATGCTGGTTTTTGCTCCACTAAAGAAATGAATTGATCCATAAGATTCTTATATAGATATGTAGAGAAGAAACGAGTCATGAGTAGCTTGTTGGCTACATTCAGATGTTCACATGCCCTTCCCAGCAGGTATTACTGTAGTTATTACAGACACCAGCTTGTTCTCTCAAACAATATGGTGTAGTGAAAGAAGTGATTATCTTATTTTACAGGGATAGGATTCAGGAAACATTTCAAAGAGAAACCTAACAAAACTAACACTTTTTTTGTTGTTTGCTAGATATGCAGTGTTTTACTGTAATAAAATGCCCTGGTTTTCTTCCTAAGCCTTTTAGTTTCATTTGGAATATTTCCTAGGATTTAGCATAAAAATGTAGCTGAAGGCAACTTAATTGCTATTCTGTGACCTGCTGACCAGCAGGACATTGACCTGAAAGATACTAACTGTCCTCTATACCACCTATTTCTTTTCAGAAGCAAGAGGCCTTGTAAAACATCTTTGACTTCTAGATTCTCACATAAAATAAAACCTAACTGCTGTCTCTGCATTCTCTTTTAAATTATTGTGAGAGCACAGAATAAATAGGTACTCCATTCACTTTTTCTGTACAGTAACAGAACAATAGAAAATCAAGTATTTCAGGGAGATAAAAGCACTTTCAATAACCAAGTAGTTATTCATTATGCTATGAAAGCAAAAAGATTAAACATAATGAGAGCTTCAATCATCTTACCTAGCCAGACCTCCTACCTTTTTTGAGGGCTATCAAAGCAAGACATTGTAAAACAGTGCTGCTTTTTATCCTCGGTCAAGATACTTAAAAAGTGCCTAAAATTAGGCTTCTATACCCATATTTATATTCAAGCAACCTATCTTTTCAAAGGTATTGAGCAGCAAGCAAGCTTACTTGCAGTTGGTGTCAGTAGCCATTCTGTTTCTTTGGAAAATGACATTACTTTCATATTTTTCCTGGTGTTGAATCTGCAGTTTAAGTGTAGGTACATTTAGTTTTTCCTGCTATGCCTTCCTTTGACAGGTTCTAGCACTGTAAGCCATGCCTTTCTTATAAACCTTTCCTTACACAGGCAGAATAATCACTTTTGTCAAACAGTACTACATATATGAAAAATAAGCTTAATCCTCACACACAACATAAATCACAGAGATCTGCCTCTTGTTTAGATTCTATTTGTTTTATATACATATATATCAGAATTGTCATTTCAGCACAAATCCTGGATGTGTGTTGTTTTCTCACTTTGATCTTAATGCACCGTAGTGTAAACTGTCCTACACAGATGAATTCTAGTCTTAAAAAGCAGCTTGTTGCCTCATAATATCTGTAGTGTATTATGTTTTATCTAACAGCTTTGTTCCTCATATTTATTTATCTGTTGCACTTTTTTCCCATTACATTTTTGGCAAAATTAAATTCTAAACCAAAAGACCATATTTTTACAATCCAACTAATTCATCCCTTCAGTCAGTCTCAATCTTGTTCTATTAAAGCATGGTATTTCTCTGTATTTTCAGACTAATTTTAAAACTCCATTACACAGTTTAAAAAGTCATTCAGAAAATCAAAAGAGTGAAACCTCCCTAGCTGTGCAGACAGAACTGTGTTTTCTCCTTCCTTTTTCTATCATTTCAGAGATACATAAATAAATACACAGTATTTCTGTGTCATTGGGGGTAGCATACAGGGTGCAAAATTGTCCTTCCTGTTTTCAGTTTGAAGGTGTGAGTCATTGTTACCAGCTTTGTTTTATAAAAGCTGTCTGCTTAAGAGGTAACACCTTGGCAAGAAGCATGTAGGGCCATTCAGAAATGTAAATAAAAGTAATGATTTTGGTAATTGTTACTGTCTGCATGTGGTTGGTAGCATATTGCAAAAGGGTGACTGTATTTCTCAATGCACCTAAGTGTGTTAGCTTGTGGGAGTAAGCATGTTGTGGTATACCAAACTTCTGTACAATTCTTCAGCAAAAATATAAGTGGAAACAGATGAATAATTTAACTAAATTCTTTTTTTGAATGTATCTAATGTAATATTTTCTAACTGGTAAAAGCAAGCAGCTATTAATTGTTTTAGCTTTTTAGAATCAGATTATCTCTTTTTGTGATTCAAAGAGGTTGCAACAAAGAGCGCTGGAGTGCAGGGAAAATATCTGTGTGTGTTTCCTCTCTCCTAATGCTGAGTTGCTGCAAAATTATGTTTTATGTATGTGTGTAAACACACCGTGTAAAAAGAGCAGTCCCAAAAAGAGTGAAAAACAAAGCACAAAGTTGAGAGTATTTGTTTTCTGGAGTTAGATAGAATTTTCTGTATTTTAGAAGTAGCAGAATAAATATAGTGACAGCAAATTGGATGTCCTCACTGATCACTGGGTTAACCTTTTTGGACAACATAGTAGAATAATATTGATACACTGATCTTGGTTAAAAGGCACTGCCAAAGAACATAAAAGATTTCCAATTATTTGAGCTCTTCAGATCAATTTTGAATATAATTCTAAAATAAATTAGCGTATATTGTTTGCTATATTATTTAAACAGCTTTGATGGGGGAACTTCTGGTTAAAGTTCCTTGAATCAAATTTCTTAATTCAGTTTTAGAATTTACCAGGGAATGTGTATGTTGATTATAACACTTCTGGTTGCATTGAGCTATTGCATGGTTTTTCACAGTGTCACAGATGGTATCAGCAATGCTTTTCATCCCTGAAAATACTGGTGGAGATTTTTTTTAAAAGCTGTCTTACATAGGCTGACAAAGAGGTGACAAAGGCATTCATTCAGGTTTTTAGTTGCACAGTATAAATTTGTGTGGTGTAGAACCAAATGTCTTCCTGGTCTGTCACTTGCAGTAGTTTTTTTGGAAGTATGTTTTAGGCATTTGTGGAATATTACATTTACAGCACATGAAAAAAACCCTCTTCTTCAGAGTTCTAAAATAACTCAGTAATTCAAAGTAAAAAAGTTAAAATTAATTTTCTTATAAGAACTTTTATGTGTAAAAACATACTGTGAAACTTCTGCCACTGTAGCACTATATTTGACTTGACAAAACATTAAATGGAACAGCAATGTAGGAATTGAATTTGCTAAGCTAACAGGTATCAGTTGAAGTGATGTGACCTTGTATGCTAACAGATTCAATAGCTTCTTCCAACTTCTGTGCTTTTCTTAGTGAGATAGCTTTGATTTTCAACAATAAGAATAAGGAAGAGAATTTTGAAAAGAGGTTTCACTGCATATTACTTAATTAGCTGTACATGGTGTACAGTGCATATTACTTAATAAGCTGTACATGGCCAATAACAGCTGGCAGGTAAGGCTCCACCCTGCATTGAGTTGAGGGAGAGAATCAGAAGGACAAATTTAAAAATGTATGACATGATATAAAGATAGTTTAATAAGTGAAACAAATGCTTACCTACAAGCAAAGCAAAATAAGGATTCCATTCAGTGCTTCCCATCAGCAGGCAGATGTTCAGTGACTTCTTGGAAAGCAGGGCTTTGTAAGACATGGCAGCTACTAGGCAAGGCAAACACCATCACTTTGAACGTCCTCTCTTCCTTCTTTACCCAGCTTTGTGCTGAGCACAATGTTTAGAAGACCTTTGGTAATTCTGGGTCTGATGCCCCTTCCAGCTTCTTGTTGTAGGAGCAGGTCTTGGCATTGTTACACATGGTAGCAAATTTAAAGTTTAATGGAAAAGCTTGAGTTTTTTTTACTTTTTAATACTGTGTGTGTTTTCATTACTGTGCATTGTTTTGTGGTTGAAATTGAAAATACCATTTAATGTGTTAACATTTAAACATTTTTAGAACATATGGTCCTTTCAGGAAATTAGACCAATTTCCCTCTCCCTCATTTGTAGCATTGAACCATTTATTTAAAATATTGAGGAGAAGCTCTTGGTTTGTCCTACCATTCTTTTACAAAAATGCCAACCAAGCCTACACTAGTTGGCAGTATCTGGCTTGTCTTGTCAGCCTGCAGAGATTCTTGGCTGGGCAAATGTAGATGCAGCTAGAGTACTAGCTACATTTAATAGTCACTATATATCTGATTGTGAAAAGTTATTAATACTTGCAGTATTAACAGTCATTATTTCAGTCTGCTCCTTCAGTGTCTGCTTTCACCCCCACCCTTTTTCTTAAAAATATTTCATAAAGGAATTAATTAAGGTAGTGATTTAGAAACTATAAAGATAATGTAAATACTTGTGCTTTACAGCTCTATCTACCTTAGATTACATCTGTATGTCCTTGCTCCTGTCACTTAACTTTTGTTCAAACTGTGCTTATTTGCTGTGTTAGTGAAATTTATTTCCAGTAAAGAACTATTGGTGGAATTATATTATTCACCCCGTATTTTGCTTTGGGGTCCAGTGATAAGAGGCATACATATTTAAGGGAAATTTAAATGCATTTCAGATATTTTAAATTGTTCTTCAGTTTCTGTTCTTGTATCCTCAGAAGATAGGGAGTGTAAATGTACCTTTTTAAATATTTAAACTTTAGTTTAAAAATTATACTTCCAGGTTTTTGACAGGCCATATCTGTGTTGTCAGGGTTTTTTTCATTATGAGATTTCACCATTCATATATAATAAAATATTATGACATAATAAAGTAAGGGGAAAACCAAATCAAGTAGAGTTTAAGAAAGTAAGTAGTAGTCCTGGAAGCAGTCTTGGAGATGACATTTATAACAGATTTTGTCTGGCCAGTTATTAAAAATCTTAAGGGATGGAGGCTATACTTCCACCCCACACCATGTTTATTTGTAGTTGTGGTTGTGTTTATTCCTTTTCTTTTGAGTGATGAGTAACTGTTAACTGTAGTGACAGTATTTGTGTAGTTTTCAACAAATTACTTTATGTTTTTATTATCATCTATGTCACTGTCTCCATTGTTCATATGTACATCTGTTTGATTTATTGATGCTCAAACTGGTTTTGGTGCGTTTCAGCTGCTAAGGAATCCTAGTAAATTATTTTAAACCAACCTTGAACATATTTTGTTCTCAAAGGAGTATCAGACAAATCATTGACTGTAGCATGTACCCATTGAGTCTGGTTTGTCTCTTAGCCAAAATTGTCCAGTTGCAAGTACTCATCTTTTACAATATGCCATATATCAACTGGAGCTCTAGTGTAACAGTATAATTCTCTGGTAGAGCCTTAGCTCAGGCGAATTTAATGTGTTCCTACTGTGGTGCCTATGTTCTTCCAAGCTGTGCTTTCAAAACATCTGTTGGTACACGTGGCCAGAGGAGTAACTTATTTCAGAGTAATTGTATAAAATATTTCTACTATGGCTCAGAAAGGTATGTTGGTAGACATGACCTTGCGATGACTAACACAAACTAGAAACACTGATTTACCTGATCAGTATTGATTAAGTTTCATATGGGTGAATAAATGCATTCATCTATCTCATGGTGGTGTCTGGGTAGCTAAATTCCTGTGTATTGTCTTGATGCCTCTTGAAGAAAATACGCTTCAGTTTTCTTTACTTGTTCATCTTGTTCATGACCATTTTCACAGGATCACTGAATAAGTTGACTTGGAAGGAACCCATAAGAATATATATATATAGCTATAGCTATAATTTATTTGTTTGTTTGGGGTTTTTTTTGGTTTTTTTTTTTTGTTTGTTTGTTTGGGTTTTTTTTTGTGTGTGTGTTCCTGTTCAAGGTAGAACATTGTAGGGCTAATATTCAGAATTATGGCTTTTTTCCTAAAATTGCAGCTGCTCATCTCTGAAATTTTTCGCAACTGAAGAAAGTTTCCTTTTGCAAAGTGACTGCCAGAATTTCTTCTGTGGTAGAAACTTAACACTTTGCATCCTTTTCCCTTTTGGCACAGACATACATAGTCACAAAAAGAGCTTTACTTCATGATTAAATCTTTAGAAAAAGACAATGCTAATAGAGCAGGAAGAAAAAGATCCCTGCAATTGTCAAATTAAACACAAAGTTAATTGGAATAAGCACAGTACTTGCAATCTTATGGTTAAACAAAACCTAATTTAAAAAGAAATCACATTGCAATTATAAGTTTTGACACCATTTTGCATATAGTTTTAGATGATGTTTTCATAGAACCTGTTTTTCTCCAGTACCAAATCTTAATTGATATGGCATCAGTGACACTGATTTTGTTAATCTGGCTGCAATAGTTTTAGTTTAGTTTAGTTAATACATTCAGTTTTTGAGCAGAAGAAGAAAGGCCAATGAAGGAGTGACATGGCAGCAGAGTGGGCTTTTATCTAAAGAAGTTCTCTATGTTATTTCTGTTAAATTATCAGCGTGAATTTTTTATATATTACAGATCAATAGATACACCTATGTTTTTTTCCATTTAGGCTTTCAGAAGTGAAGTTGCTGGTCTATTAAATGCAATTCTTGGAACTGTAGTGGACTATTGGATCGTATCAGGTTTGCTCATGGACAGAAATGTGTTTCATCAAGTGCCTGATTTGGCGCATTACCTTGCCATTTCATGTGACGGTGAGTGTTTGCAAGGCCTCTCAAAAGTCTTATAATTGGATACACTAAGTCCTAATTAAAATCCTTGGTTTAGAGTCAAATTGTTTTTTGCCCTGTGTGTTGCAGCTGTGCACTGCATGGCATGTACATATTCAGGAAACCATTTTATTTTGTATGTGTGTGTCAGTGTCAAGCAAAGATCAAATAGAACGGGTTTTCTTATTAAAATCCCTCTAAATAAATGTCTAAATGTTGATGCAAAAGCAAGACCACACAGTCTGAGGAGGAAAAAAAGTCTTTGGAGCTCTCTCAGTTTAGGAGAAGCTTTAAGCATATAATAAAATTTAAATTCAGATAAGCAATCAGAGGCATCTTACTTAACTCAGGCAAATTTTATCACTCCAAAAAATCAATAGATTGCTAAAGACACTTCAATCGTAAGTCTGAAAGCTACACTAAACTGTGTGACTCCCGCAACTTCAAATGAAACATTACAATGTTTCCTTCCAGATCTCTAGACATAATGGAGGGAATGGGAGAAAATTCCATTGAGTCCCATGTATTACTGTAGTTCCTCCTCATTTAACATGGAATGTCAGTTGAGGTATCTGTACTTTCAGCAGCAAGGAGTTGAGGAGCTTGAAGACAAAATTATCTCAATAAAGTATTGAATTATTTTAATTTAATTTTCAAAATTAATTCCCACCAAAGCTTCCCCTGACTACTTTTCCAATCATCATTTTCTGTGGTAACAGGTATATGTAAGTTTCATTTGAATTGTATCTGCCTTCTACCTGGACACTTGGGAAGAACCATCATGAAAAGAAAATACACTAAAATCTTAATCTCTGGACAATTTATTCCACCCCAGTTTTATAGAAAGCAAATTATGAGAACTTTTGTAGGCTGACTTTGTCTTTAGAAGGCCAAATCAGTTTGAACTTTATGGTGTTTAAATCAATGGAGCTTTTAATATGTGCCACTTCAATGGATTTTTTAGACATCATATAATAGGAACAATCTTGGATAAATATTTCTGTAAGACTTTATTACTTTCCTGTATACAAAAGGGAAAACAAGAACAGGGTTTGGTCTGTTTATAGAGATTATTTGACCTGTACCACTTGTTACAACCTGCAGCACTCAAAGTAAAATTGTTGTGAGTTTTTCTGAATTAATTTATACTTAGAGTAGCAAACGTCTGTATTCTCAAACTTGGGTTTCTGTTTTGATTGAGTGTACAGATCAGTTAATTTATGAGCACTTCTTAGCAGAACAGAAGATTCCCTTAATACAGTAAAGATTTTCTTCCTCATTGCAGGTCTTACTTTCCAATCATTTCAGTTGTTATTTTGACAAAATTTTTTTCTCAGAATCACAATATAGATTCTTAATACTGTAAGAAAAAATCAGTCTTTCTGTTCTTCTTTTCTAAAACAGGTAGGTCAGACATAGATGCTTGATGTATATTGATATATGTTGTATGGATATGTAAGTTTCTCTGCCAATGTGTGGGGCATTTTTTAAAACAGTATAAGCTATTTGGTACATCTGAATGGGGTTGCAATGTGCTTATGGTGACTTTCACTGTAGAATTTATAGATCACCTGTATTATTTGCAGATTTCTTGTTCATGTGTTATAACTCTTACCTGAATTTGTGCTTCTTTGAGATTTAAAAGGTGATCACTTGCAGAACTTAACAAAAAATAATTTTGTTCTCAAAATAAAGGCGTAACTTTTATAACATTGTATGAAGAGCATTTTAAGAAGTTTCACACAAAAAGTGATGTTTGGTCTTCTAAAATATGTTCTCAGTATGTCATCATCTTAGCAGATGATTGTTAAAATCTATTTTGATGTGAAGAATTTTAGTAAATCTTATGGAAAATAAGCTTCTGAATTTGCAATAGGAGCGAAAAGCCTGGAAAATCTGTCTTCTAGATAACTAGGTATGTAGATTTCTGTATTTTCATTTTTTGGCTTACTTGATTTTTTTCCAATTGCTTTTATCCAGATTTTTCTGCATGTCAATTAAAAATGTTTCTTTGTGCCATACCATCCGACTGGCTTCAGCTGTTTGTTGCAGAAGCAATTTTCAAACAAATGTGTTTACAGAGGAATATTGCTGTTTCTACAGAACCTCTTTCTCTTCAGAAAATAGTAAGTAGAACTTATCACACTTCAATATTTTACAAGTAATTTGATTCATAAAAGTCTTGCAATATATTTTTTATTTGTGGTCTGAGGTCATGTTTATTGCCTGCATTGTCTTTCCATGTGTTCCATACATTTAAATTTCTCTTTGCCTGAAATCTGGGTACAGAACAATAGTAAGATTTTTCTTGCCAGAGAATTTGTCTCATCTGTTTACATGCAGTTATCATGAAAGTGAAAAAACGCAACAACAGTGAAAGCTTTTAAAAATAATCCCTATAAAATTATTGCAGTGTTACATTTATACTTAAGGAGAATGCCAAACATAGTGTGATTTTTCTCAGCTACCTTTTCCTTCAGGGTTTTTGAAGAGATAGGTCCAGGCATTTGTTACATAGATTTTACGATTTTGAACCGCAATGTATTACTGTGAATTTCTCCTCTTAGAAACTTTGTCCTACTCACCGACCTTTGCTTGCCTTCAAATCACAATTTGTGATAGTTGGTGAGGAAAAACATGGTAAAAGCTGCAAAAGATTCTCAAAGCCATGACTGCTGGCAGGATGCAGGCAAATCAGGGTGATTATATGGTAATGTCATGCCCTAATCTAGATTCTTATTTCAGTAATCTTAATACTAATGATTGAACAGAATATGGAATCCATAGCTGTTTGTCTGTGTTCTACTATTCTACAGGAAGAGTCGCAAAAAACCCAAATTTATACCTTTGTACATTTCCCATACATAAGTTTTCATAAATTTTGCAGGAATTGTGAAGAGAGGTCATTGTTTGTTAATACAGCATATTTAAACAGAGATTGAACAAAATACTGTCAGAATTCTTGATAGAAACCAACTGCATACTAATATTGGACATATATTGCCACATATAGAGCAGAATTGCTACTTTCAGCATTGCCATGCCTACTGATCACTCTCTGCAAATACTTAAAAATTGTTTTAGTGCTTGAAACTAGTCTATGTGCTTTTTGCTGTTTTCCTTAGTATGACTGAGTCTACTTTCTCATTCCATACAGTAAAAATTTTCCAGTTTTGCCAGTTCTTCTTATTCAGCATCTTACCAACTCAGCTTTTCTCTAATTTCAACAACTCTCTGGTGATAAATGTGCAGTGAAGGTGCAAGTAAGGTGTTCCTCACCTACTGCACATTGCCTTCACAATCTACAATGAACTGCTAAATACACAAAGTCTTCCTTAATACCTTTCTTCAAATATAATTGTGGTGTGTTAGATTAATTCCCCTCAGTAGCCTTTTCTCTTATACTTTTTGCAGAAACTTAGATGACTTTTTTAAATGAGCAGTGTGAGTGGATTTGAAGCTCTGTATTACTGAAAGAGGCTAATATCTACAATAGCCAAGGCTGTCCTAATAGAGAGTACCTAAGGGATAACTAGCTTACTGCCTTAGCAATGCTCAAAGAATTAATCCCACCCCTTTTCTCAGAAGAGATGAAGGAGTGGAGTGAGTCTGTATTTAATTAAATTGCTCCTTGGTTTAGGAGTGGAAAGTCTGTAAATACTTTTTTTTAATGCACGGAAGTAATTTGACTGTACTCAATCTTACGTCCAGCTGACTGAGAGAGGCTTAGAGTTTCCCATTCTGTGTCTCAGACACAAGCCACTCACTGAGGCAAATGTAAAGGGTGAATTACAAAAGCATCAAAAAGGAATGCAAAAGACAAACTGTAACAAACTAGATGTACAGTCATTCAGGGATCAGATTTTAAAAACCTTAGATACATCAAGAGTATAGATGGATACGTCTGGATATAGATGACTGCTTTGCAGCAAGTGTAGCAAAAGAAAATTTCCTTATTTATAAAATGTTACTTTTGCAACAGGTCTGTTCCTATTCACCTGCTTTGCGAGAGATAGGGATGCATAAGACAGAGATACACAAAGCAAAGAAAAAGAAAATAGGGCAACAGCCATGCCCTGAGTCTCAAAGGACATTACAGATGCTAAATGGCGATAAGCAGAACCAAGTCAAAGTGCTGCCTGATCTACCGTGAGTAATACCTATAACATCACCAGTTTTATTCTGCTTTGGGGGACAGCTTCTGACCTGACACATTTCTTGAACTTTATGTGACCTGTTTTGTTATCTACAAATTACTTCAACTGACAGAAAGCTCCATTGTAAGCCTGTAACACCTCTGGGCTGGGGTTTCCCCTTTTCTCTTTGATCAATTTCGGTGTATATGCACGCTGATGTAGTTTTATTTGTCTAATATTAAATATATAGTGTATATACAGAAGTTCACTGTTCATAGAATTACCTTTAAGGAAAGTTTAAAAGTGGGCAGTCCTATTTGAGTTCTGTTTTAAATACAGTTATAATTAAATGTCATAGAAATTATGTAATTAAGACATTTCAGAAATGATGGTGAAATGGATAAATCTAAGTATTTAAATGGTTTTAACATTTAAAACCATAAAGTACATACACATTAAATATGAAATAGTGATTTTAAAAGTGTCCCATTTGCTTTCTTTTCAGTGACTTAATCTTTAATAAGCTTACAGGAAAAACAGAAGTCCAGACTGCACACACCAAAGGGAGTTATCTTTTGACTGAAGAGGTACACAAGAGGAATATTAAAGGTATTCTACATACCTAATTCATGTTAAAAAGTTTAAAGTGATTCAAATTTATAGTTTCATGTTTAAAATCTTGTCCTGATGAATGCTGGACTAAAACAATGGCTTATGCCCAAGAATTATTTTCTTATGGTCCATGTTTCTCTTTTCCAATGTCAATTTAAAAGGAGGAATTTGTATATATGGTAAAATAAAGTTGCCTTCTTCATTACTCTCCTCCTTCCATACATTAAATGCAGTGTACAGTTTGTGTGAGCTCATTCCAGTCTTGACTGCCTTACTTTGCTAATCCATTTCAACCTGTGCTTGGTAGGATCAACGTGTTCTGATTTGCAAGTATAATTCAGTCTTCATCTCTCTGAGTCCTAGACATTTTGTGAACAAAGACTGAGGAGTATGCTATGTTACATTGCTGTTTTAAGCATATGGACTGTTTTCTTCCAGGCATTCAGCCCAGACTTTGAAATGCACTTGGCTTTTGTTTTAACTATACTGGAACTCATGTATCTAAGGAATAAAACAGCACTGCAGTAATTCATTCAATTCCTATTTGCTATACAAGTTTAATAATTGTACTTTGCATGAGGCTTGCTTTACTACAGAATTAGTTACTGGAACTACTTTTTCATCTTTATCATCAGAAATTTACCTGAAACTCTACTAATATGGCACCCATGAGAAGGCTCAGAAAAAAACTGGCAAAAGCAAGCTGGAATTGTTTAAAAAATTTAAAAAATAATTATTATCACAAACAAAAGAAGATGTCACCTCCTTTAAAGGCTTAAAAAAACTTCAGCAACAGAGTCAGACCATACATTTTTAAAATTGGTTCCCTTTGTTTTTATTGCTTTTACAAGTAAAATTGATGTGAATTATTACATCTGATCTCTACAAAGAAAAGTGATCTGAAGGACTTGGGAGGGGGAGGGAAGTGGAACCAAGCAAATAAATCCTGCTTTTTTTTTCTATTCTTCCCTGCTAAAATTATAAGTTGTATCTGCTGTTGAAAGAATGGGCATGGAGCTGACAGATTTACATAGTAAAGGTATTAATATAACAAATGTTCCATGTAAATCTTACTCTAAAAGCTAAGAGATCTAGCCTAAGATATCTTGAATTTCTAAGATGTTTGGTTCATCATCTTTCACCTGGTATCAGGATTTCCCTCTGGCTCTTGTTCAAAGCTAATCAATTATTGAAAAGAAAACAGCATTTAGAATGTGTCTGAAGTTTTTATTCCGCAGAAGCTAGTGGTGTCTGTACATATATATGCAGCAGCTTTCACTTGTTTGCTGTTTAATTTTTCACCCTTATTTCAGCTGTACATGGTACTAAGGTTTGGAATTTTTTTTCCCCTGGGTCTACTACGAATAATAATTTTATTATTATTATTAATTTTCCTCTTTCTCCCCTCCTTCTCTGCTGTAGCCAAGTCAGAGAGCCTACTGAGAAACAGCAAACCATTTGCTAATAGATTTGAAGTTTTGATTTATACTTGAGTATGTAGAGGCATTTGTGCTTAGCCAGAAACATTCATTTGAATTAAGCTAAAAATGCTGTGTAAAAAGAACCATACATCTTAATGTAGGTTCATGAATAAATTTAAGGGAGGGCAACTGCACTCTAAAGTTTTATTGCTTCAAAACCCAGTATTTTTTGGTGTTTTGTGATCACTTTGTGCTTTTATAGTGTGATTGAAGCTTTAAACCTTGAACTAGAGGGGAGATAATTCCTGTGTTAAACCATTTGCAGTACAATTTCATTGCTGGATCTCTGGTGGAACAGAAGCTCCGTGGGGCTTTTTTTTCTTTTAAGATGTTTAAACAGGATAAAGGAAAATCGTACTCATTATTGAGTTTTCTGCCACATAACCAGGTCTCCTAGTTCCAGACCCTTTGATTATTTTCTTTAGTTGCTATCTTGTCTAGTCTAGTGTAATCTATTAATTTTTCATGGTAGGAGAGACAGCCCTGCATAAAGCTTGCAGAAATAACAAAGTGGAGAGATTGATTCAGCTTCTCTCTTTGCCAGGAACAGACATTAATGTTAAAGGTAAGTTACTCATTTTCTCTACAGAACTAAGAAATTAAGACACATAAAGAACTATATTAGTATCTTTTCGGTAACAGGTTTGTATTTATACAATCTAAAACTCTTTCTTTTTTAAATAACACAAAGTGAGGACTTTTCAGCAAACATTAAGGTAAGATGAATTTATAACTGAAATGTACTTTAACATCACATTTTCTACTGATTTTTAAAAATGCCATTTTTTTCAGATGTTTTTCAATAGAATTTCTTGTTTTGAAATCACAAGCTGCCATTCCAGCTGTAATGAGTACTAAAAAAGTAAGGTGTTTTCCTGTCTAATGAATGACATTAACATTTCAGTACTACTTTTGCTGTTTTAAAACTTCCCTTGATTTATAATTCAGATTATGCTGGCTGGACGCCTTTGCATGAAGCCTGTAACCATGGTAGCACAGCATGTGTCCGTGAAATTCTGGAGCGTTGTCCAGAGGTAGACCTGCTCAGTCAAGTGGATGGGGTGACTCCTTTGCATGATGCACTGTCAAATGGACATGTAGAAATTGGCAAGCTGCTACTTCAGCATGGGGGTGAGTACCTTTATGCTAAACCAGTTTAGGAAAATTATCCACTGTTCTGAATCCATATGAAGTTCTCATTGTTTTTCCTGATACTTTCATAAAATAAAGTTACTTTGAAATATTTTAGAATGCTTTTAAGACAAGTTGTTTGTTTACAATAAAATGATACTGTTTTCACACTTATTTTGATCAGCTGACTATTAAGTTAACCAAGATTTCCACAGGTTTTTCCAATATGGTAATGTTTTTATCCTGCATTTTACACGATACACATTGCAACCATATTCTCCACTAATGAAAATAAAGGTTACCTAATCACAAATCAGGGCTAAGTATTTTATATTGTTTTGGTGTATTTCTACCACAACACAAAAACAGGTCAGTTAAATCTCTGCATATCATGTATTTCAACATAAATTTTTTCAGCATTTGTAAAAATTGATGTGATGGTTTCTGAAGAACACAATTAGGTTAGTAATTCGTAATTAGTAATTGATACTGTAATCATGATAACTGCTTTTTAGGGATAATAGTGGGAGGTATACCTTAGTTTCTATAAAAAGTACTTTGCCCCTTAGGCAAGCACACAATGTTTTAAACAATACTTTTTGTTCAGAGACAGGGTATTTGTAACTTGAGGTATGTACTGTACCAGTGTATTTAATTTAGCACGTTAAAAACTAACCCCCAAATATCCACATGGAATCATCTTGGATAACAACTCTTCCTCCTTTTAATTAATTTATTAGAATGAGTGTTTGCAATACCTGTACCATTGCCCTACTGTGTCAGTTTAAACTGTACTTTATATGCCAAACCCAAATTTTTTCAGTAAAAATCATTCTGTGCTTAGTCATGAGGCAGAAGAGTGTATTTAGGCAGCCTATTAATTAAGGTAGAGAAACGAAATTCTAATAGATTCTTGGCATATGACCCTCTGTATTTACAGTCTTCTCCTGCCCCCTAAAGGCTGTGTCTGTGTCTGTTGTGCAAGCACCAGATCTTAATCAATACATTGCTTCTGCAGTTCTACCTCCATTTACTGAATCTCAGCTCTGTAGCTCCCAGGTGTTTTATATCTCTACTGTGCCATGTCACCTTGGCATCTAACATGCCAGGCCAATGCCTGGGCTCAGTTCTATCAGCTGAAGTGATGCAGTAGTCAATATTACAGTAAGCCCAGCTCCTGAGCTGGAAATGCACTAACAGATGTGTATTTTTCCTAGGCTGTTGTGAAGAATAGGTAGTGGATCATCTTGTTATTACAGGGGAAAAGCTCTACTTGCACTTGCAATCATCAAGTTTTTCTGGCAAGTGTAAGGCTGTGTGTACCTTTATCTTTGCCTTTGTTACACTCTTGAGTTATGGCCTGTCAAGTAACTGACAGGCCCATGGTAGAAGGCATGTTACCTATTCAGTGTGAATTTACTTAGTTCAATAATTTAGATCACAGAAGTTAATGATACTAAATAATCAGTAATAATAATACAGTTTTAATCTGAGCAAAATTAAAATATGTATTACTGATATGAAATGTGGGAGTTCAGCTTTTGTCATTAAAAATATATTTCTGAAGAAGCATGCATGTTAATATGGTATCATTACTTTAGCATAGTAATACAAACTTATGTAAGATTCCTAATGTCTTCATAATTGAAAAACACTTGTAGTGTCTTAACAGCCTTCATTTTTTTACTGATGCAGCCTTTCTTAAACTTCCCAAGAAATGTCTAAGCTCTTTCAATATTAATAGGTCCCTTGTACTAATAAACTGGAAATACCAAAAGGATTTATTTGTTCTAAACAAACAAACATGTCTCATTTACTTATTTTAAATCTATCTATTAGAGTAATTATGTTTTGTGTTCCAGAAATCTGTTAAGATCAAATTTTTAAACTCAGTTGTTGGTGAAGGCTTGGATACCTACCCCAACAGTTTACCTTGCTGCACATACGGCAAGATTGGCCACACCATCCACAAAAGCAAAATATAGACCATCGTAGTTACAAGCCTTTAATTTGAAGTCAGTGTCAGCAAAGAACCTAGTGTACAAAGTACGTAATAGAATTTTACAAAAGTAGATACTTTACAAAAGTAATAACATTACATTTTTGCATGTTCTATGCAAGACAGTATTGTAAAAAAATTGTTAAGAAGGATCTCTCTACAGGTTCTATCTTGCATTGCAAATGTGTAAGTCATCAGTTACATTAGCATAACTTGGTAGAAAAAAGGAACTTAAACTGACAGCTGTAAGCAACTCAAAATTCTTGTTTAGCTGCCACTTCATCACAAAATGTGCTGTTGTTACTAATGTTTGTGTTTTTCCTGAAGGGCCAGTCCTTCTAGAGCAAAGGAACTCCCATGAGAAACTGCCACTGGATTGTGTTGAGTCAGTCACAGCAAAGGAAGAACTTTTCAATCTTGTTTATCCAGGAGAGAGCATTGAAAACTTCTGTGAATACAGAGAACAAGATTTTTGCAATCAGAAGAAAGAACTGTGTTTGATTTTGTTTACTAAGATGCTGACTAATTTTTGTTCCATTTATAATTTGTCTACACCTCTTACTGTAACTCTGAGAGTGATCTCTTGTTCAAATGTACTTCCGGTAATGGCTTGTGATAGCTCTAAGATGAAAAATGCATTTTCTGGAGATTGGTTGGTAGATACATATTTTAAAGAGCTAGAAACTTTTGAAAAACTACCACAGTTTCTTCAAGAAATATCTGAAAGCATGTTATTCTTCCCTGGTGAACAGGCGAAGGCCTTATTAGCAGCTCTGGAAACTATGGTAGAAGCATGTCAGTGCCTAAATCTTTCTAGCAAGTAAATTCCAAACAACCACATTGGCTGAATCTTGAGTGTTACTACCTTCTACTTGCCTGCATGTGTGTAATCTTAGGAAAGTGCTGTATCATTTATACTCAGTTAAACTGTCTTGGAAGTTGGGTCTTTTTTTTTTACATGCCTTGTGCCATATTTCTCTTTGGTTTTTAGAGGCAGTGACCCTAAACTTAAACCAAGCAATTGATTGTTTCATTTCCTGAGAAAGGTTTATGTCTACATATTTTGATATCCCTTAATAAAACTAATGTTATAAATATGTAATGAAATAAAAATATATGGAAAAGCAAATTCCTTCTATCCATTTTCATCTTACTTAATAAAAAATAAGATTAAAATTTATGTAAGTAAATTATTATGTAAATTAATTGCATGTTACAAAATTCAAAAAAGAAGGCACTCTATATTTATAGAATGAATATATAACATTTCCCATGTCTTTGTTTGATAGAAGTGGTCACCCAAAGATGTGAAAAATGTAGCACTATGTTGCTTGTAGTCTTATTTATTTGTGCAGTGACCAAGTGAAGGAGACTGGCTCAGACACTTGGGTGATCTGCAAGATTCCAGTGCGTACAACTTGCTGCTTCCCCAGTCAGTGATGCTTTGAAGAACTAAATTCACCCTCAGCAAAACTTAAGGCTGTCCTTGGCTCTGCTCCAACTCATTGGCTTGCAGTGATTTGATAAAACCATTACTCTGGCCTGTAATGATCTGGTAACACTCCTGGGATAACCTCAAAGGAAGATGCAGGTAGAAGCAGTGGCCCAGATCTAGTTATGCTGGCAGAGGTATTTACAAAGGATAGAACAAGAGTTTAAGTATATACTGGACATCATATTCTGAAACTAAGAATGCATATCCTTAAAAATTATGCCCCCCTTAATATGAAACTTTCTTTCTCCATTCTGTGAGTACATGCAAACTACACATGGTAAACCTCTAAACTAATGCCCTAAACAATTTAGGATTGTATACTACATATTCTATCAGACAGACTTTTAAATTAATTGAGAAAGACGGACATTCCCATACTGTTCTTTAAAAGGTATTGAAGGCAAGGCACCTGAATTACCTACTTGTGCTCATGGGTTTGGGGTTGTAGAAAAGTTGCATGTTTTGGGGAGCCCTTATTGCTCATTTATATAGAAATAATTATAATTCCTATCCTGCATCTTTATAGACATCTGGAGGAGAGACACTCAAACAGAAGTTTATCCCTTTCCAAGAGAAGAGAAAAAAGAGCTGCTTTAGAGTGAGAATACTTGATTATTTTTTCTAAAAGATTCAGTAATAGATGACTTAAAAACTTAACCTTTAAAAGGTAGGTACGAATAAGCAGCATTCCAAATTCCAGTTTTTCTGTAATAGCCATTTATAATATTATTTTAAAAAAAAAAGAATGGATGTGGAGTAAGACCTGCTTATGTAACTGATCTTGCTTGACTAGAGGAATTCAATTCCATTGAGTCATCCAGCATGTGCAAATAAAATTTCCAGTTAGCCTTTCTGCAGCTGAGATATATGATCTCATAGCAATCCACAGAAGATGCTCAAACCAAGCTGACTTTGGAACCAGACCTTCCTTACAAATGTTCCATGCTTATTAATGACCAACTATTATTTTTATAAATAAATACCTCATAGGCTGAAATGTCAGTGCATATTGACTTTGTTTCTGTCTGTGCACTGTTCATTTTTCTCTAGTAAGAAACACTGAAAAAGCCTTTGTCATATATGAAATGTACTAATAAACTTCAGTATTTCCTTTTGTAGGACAAAATGAAAGAAATGTTACGTGTGTACTTTCTAAGTAGTGCAAAACATAAATTTAAGTTTCCAATAGTAACAGTTGCTTTTAGTCAATAATTTGATGTGTAATTTTGAATTTTAAGTAAGTGGGACTCAGGACCTTGAAAAAATTCTGGTGGGTCTCAAAAAGCGAATTCTTTGAGTATTCAGAATTCTAACTTAACACTGACTGAAATGACAGCATGACAAGCTTTCATTCATTTTGGCCTGATGGTGATTCTGTTTATTTATGCAAGACATATCCACAGTAATTTAGAATGAAAAAATGGCACATCAGTCATTTAAAAAGTCATACTTCACTATTTAAAGTAGTTTCAAGTACCTCCCTCCATGATAATGTAGGTAACATGCACTAAGTGAACATTATTAACATTGGAAAACAAAACAGTCAAAAGTTAGCAAATATGTGAATTATGTTCCGGAAGTAGCCCCAGCTTAAACATTGTCTGTGCACATCATTAGTCTTTGTATGGCAACATAATTCTGTTCTAACGTTCTCTTAGTTAAAGGATCATACACTAAAAGTTTTCCTGTTATTTCCCAGTACTTGCAGTTCAGTTTTACATATACTCAAGTTTGCAAACTTGATATACCATTAGAAAGTTTTAGGTATATCTGTCATATTTAACATAAAATAATATGGTTAATCCAATGTATCAGAGTACCTGTTTTAGTATAGCAAAATTTTTCTGTTAAACCGAGATCTATTAATAAGTGATTGTGGTATTCACATTCTCTGAACAGAGAGAGACATGATTCTCTCTCCCAGGATTTTTCCTGGGAAATTGTGAGGAGCAGTGAGGAAGCTGAGAGAAAGAAAAAAACAATTCTTAGATCTATTCACTGCTCCTGTTCTTTGACATATGTGCAATGTGTTATGGAGATTGTTTACCAAAGAGTGAGTTGTTAATTGGACACCGGTGATGGTTGTTTGGATTGATTGGCCAGTTGGGTCAAAGCTGTGTCGTGACTGTCTGGAAATGGGTTTTTCTTGCATAGTACAGTATTAATGTAATATAATTTAGCTTAATAAAAGCAATTTATTTAGCCTTCTGCAAAGTGGAAACAGGGCGTGTTATTCCTCTTTCAAAGGTCACTGCTTCAATAATTGTTTGCTTTTTAAAACCTCTCTTGGTATGTAGGGTACCTTGTCTTAGCTAAAAGAACAAACAAAATCACCCTTTTTCTCTAAATGCCCACATTTCACACACTGACGTACTTCAGAAACACAAAGGTATATCTTTCCATAAATGATATGGAATACAAATATATGATAAGGTATACGATTCCCTCACACAATCCTATTTTTTCCTAAGCCTTTAAAAACGTAATGATTTTTTATGTTCAGGATACAGTTGGAGAAAACACATCTACCAGATGATGATGCTGCAATGCTACTTCCCAGTCAGTAACAGACGTCAGCACACTTGTCCCGTCCCACTAGAAAACTGGCAGTCGGGGAGGATTCTTTTTGATAATTTCTCAGACGAGAATAAAGTGTAAACGCAGCAATATTAGATCTGAGACCCATTTACTGATAAAAAAGGGTCAGCGTTCCTACAAAAGCGAGATAGGTAAAGGAGCAGAGAGGAAAAAAGAGAGACGGAGAAAGAAACAGAAGACAGAGAGAGCGCTAGCGCAAGAGCCCCGGCGCTCCGTCAGCGCTGGCTTGGCAGGCTGAGCGTGCGTGCTGCGAACCACGGCGTGTTCGCGTAGCTCCCGTGGCGGGCTGGGCACGATTTCCAAACCGCAGCAGGCTGCGTATTCCCTCTTTTAAAAATAGGTTAGAAACGGTTGTAAAATAGTTGATAATTGTTAAGCATGTACTGTTAGTTTGGTTATGGTAAAAGGGGTTAAAAGGCTTGTTGTAACAAATACGGTCCTCTACGTACCGTAAAACACCACCCCCCAGCGAAACGAGCCAGCCTGGACAGAACTATACTGGGCCAATCAAGCGCCTTAAACCTTCATGCAAATGAAGGATCCAAAAAGAAACCAATCCAAAGGAACAAAATAAAATAAAATAAAAAGGGACGTCTGATCCACTGAAGTGACGCTCCACCTGGAAAGTCGGGGACATCTCTGCTCAGAAGACCCAGCGCCCGCGCCGCATCATCCTCGACGGGAACGCTCCTACTCAGCCTGCGGGCCCCCTTGCTTTAGGCCTTTTAAGAAATGCTGACATCACTTTTAGTACCGGGAGTGTGGTCCCGTTTTTAACACCTCCGTCGGCAGAGAACTGGTTGTTGCGGTCCGGGCGCGCCGGCGGGTTCCCAGGTCGGGGCGCCGCGGCTGCGGGCGCGATCGAGCGCAGGCGGCGGCGGCGGCGCGGGGAAGGCGGCGGCGGCCGCAGCGGCGGCTGGGCGCCGAGCTGCGACGGGCTGGGCGCCAGGGGCTAGCGCTGCGGAGGGGCAGTGCGGCGGGCAGCGCAGGAAACAGCAACGGGGCCGGCTGCGGCTGCGTGCAGGCTGGCGTCGGCTGTGCCCGGGACTGTTTGCAGCGATGCCCGCTGCGTCGGGGATGCAGCGACGAGGTCGTCCCTTCGGTGAGATGGTTAGAGCAAAAGGTGATGCAGGGCAAAGCAGGTACTGGCAGAAAGCAGGACCACTGGGAGAAAAAGGCGGGAGGCTGCAAGGCGGAGAAGGGCCAAACTGACCTCCGAGAGAGCCCCTGATTCGTCTAAGAAACCCAAAGCAAAACCAGCGGGTTTTGTGTCACAGCTAGCTGCTCTAATCTGTCCTTTCTCTGCCCTATTTTGGTTGCCAGGCAAAGCCTTCCGCGGGACAGGCCTCCAAGCACATTTATGCTGCGGCATAAATAAAAATAAAATTGGTCCCTCTCACTGTGTCATGTATCCTTTGTTTCACACTACTGCATAACAAGATAGGAAGCACGTCAAAAATTGTTTGTAAGAAGTTTTGCAGAGTGTTTATTGATTTCAAAATGGTCACTCACAGAGGCAAGGAAGTACCACCAGAATATCACAGTCTGGCCTCAAAAGTTTTTGCTGTTGATTTATTTTTATATAGAAGCAAAATTTTGCACATAAAATTTAAATGTTGCTGCAGCTTCAATAACCATTTCAAATTTGTTACAACAGAGAAGAGGTTTAGACCTTAGAGGCTGAGCTGTCTTTACTCAATCTAACTGAACAGTTCTGAAGCTCTTCTTGCACCATCTACAAGTCTGACTGCAGTTAAATCACTGTATTGCAAAAGGTACCAAACTATGTTTCATCTGCCTCATCAGCTTTTGAATACTGTGCTCTGTTTTGGGTCCCTTGTGACAAGAAAGACCTTGTGGTGTTGGAGCATGTCCAGAGAAGGGCAATGGGGCTCAGGAAAGGTCTGGAGCACAGGTCAAATAAGGAATGGTTGAGAGAGCTGGAGTTTAGCCTGGAAGAGGAGGCTCAGGAGTGACTTTGTCACTCTCTACAACTGCCTGACAGGAGCATGTAGCCAGGTGGGGGTTAGTCTCTTCTCCCAAGTAACAAGTGACAAGACAAGATAAAACAACCTCAACCAGGTG